GAATTGGGTCGCGGGGCAGAAGATGAAGCCACCGTTGCAGAAGGCGAAAAGTTGGGACAAGTTCCACGCTTGAGATGTTCTGACGCAGTGCGAGATGGATTTGATGCCGAAAAGATGGCGTTGCAGAGTGAGCAGCGGAGCTTGACCGCCTTAGGGAGCCCGTCGTCGGATCCATGGATGAGCAGAGGCTCCAGGTTAGCCCAATACCACGCCCCTTTCCCCTTCAACGCCTTTGTCCGCACAGCAACGAGAGCATCGTACCTCTTACTCGCAGCCCTCGCCGTCGCCTCCGCCGCCTCCGCCAACGACGTCTTCCCCGGCGAGTTCCCCGCTGCCATCTACAAAAGCTCTTCGTCGCTTCACGTTAGCTCAGCTACAATTACCCCGACCCTACTAAAAGTCGCTCCTTTTTCCGTTCCTTTCGTCTGCGACATTTAAAGCAAGAGCGTGCGCGGTGGCGAACGAAGATGCTCGGCATCTCGACCGTCCATGCCGGCAATCGGCGTTGATGGTGGTGGGCAGATAATCCACCGAGCCTGAGCCTGTTCCTGTTCTCCAGCCGTTGGGTTCTGATGAAAAAGGGCGAGAAGGGTAACGGATTGCAGCGAAGCAGCTGAGGCTGGAGAAGTTGGGAAAGCTTTATATCTGATCCCTCTCCTGGCCTCTGTTTCTGTTACGTTCTCTCCACTTGATTGCTTTTGTTGTCTGAGGGGACCTTTTCTGCTCCATGGGTCGGAGTGCTTTTAGGGCTAAAATATAAATTCTTGAGTTTGAATTAGGAGATTGGAAAAGGATTGGAGCAAAGCTCTAGATTCTCTCGGACGATGCTGATGGGGAAGGTTGTAGCTATATTGGTTCAGCCTTAACCCCAGCTTGATTGTTATGAAAGAACCTCACTCTGTTATTAATAAATAATAAGAGAATAACAAAAATGTATAAAATATCTTCCCAAATATACGGCCACTTCCAAGGTAGTAAACTACACCTCAACCATCATGTCACAGATAAGTCCGCTTTTCCCAAATATTGTGTAAAATATAATTTGATTGATGGGTGAATGTGGCGATCATATTCACTTATTCTTTTTCTCCTCTTATTTTATACAACTGAATGTTTACAGATTCTTTCAACCCTCTATTCTATGTTTGTATGCGTATTTTTTATATTTTGTTTTTAAAAATAAATTAATTTGTTTAAAAAGGTCCAACTAAATTTAGGTTTACCCCCAATGCCCACACTGCCATCATGCCCAATTCAGTTTCAAAAATAGAGACCTTGACACTGCAATGCTCGAATGCAGCCGCACAACACCCCGATGCTCGTAACCAAATTTGGGCAGTTTTTTATTTATTGTGTTGGTTTTGCTGATATGAGAGTGTTTGATTTCAAATTCTTTTGTGCAAAGGAGATGAGTGAAGTAGTCTACGGTATTCCAAAGTGTGTTTGCATCTCCCAACAAATACTGCTAGAGAAATGCAACAATAATGATTAGTATAAAGTAGACGAAATGTGATTGCGTGAAATTAGTGTCACATATTTAACATGGATCTTATTGCGGGTGTGGAGGAGATTCAAATAAGAAAATTCAAAAGGAATTAAATTTTATTTAAAAAAAAATATTGGGAACTACCAGGATGAGAAGCACGATTAACTTTTCGTGAGTGAAGTTACTACATAAGAGCACGAAAAGAAGAGGGAGAAAAGAAAAAAGTCTTTGATAAATCATAAATAGAGTAGTACTAAATATATTTTTTTGCAAAAAACATAAATAAAATAAAAATAAAAATAAGTAAAAGCAAAAAAAAGAAGGCAAAATAAAAAGATGATTCTCTAGCCTATAAATAAAACAAACGAACCTATTTAAAATAAAAATGCGAAGAAAATTGTAATATTGTAACGATTAAGGAGTTCTACACTAATTATCATTTATTTGGGCATAATGTTTTCTTTAGTAGGTGAGTAAAAAAATAAACTTGCTGACAATAAATTTTTCATAGAAATTTTCTCATTATTCCAATAAGATATTTTCCCTTAAGTAGTCGGGACGTCTTCTATTCTATACCGCATATCTTCTCTTAACATTGACCCACATCACTTTCCATTATCTCCAAATCATTATCATGCTGTACAAAAATGTTCATATTATTTCTCATCACAACCAATTTTCCAAACAAAAAATTTATTCTCTTATAATAATTATTCTCATGGTGGTTGATTTGTCTCCTTGGTGGTAGCAATCAACTCAAATTGGGAGACATTCAGATCAACCATCTCCTAATGATTCTCTAGGATCCCTAAAAACTTTTCCATCCCTCCTAGCAAAAAAAGAAGGCAAAATAAAAAGATGATTCTCTTGCCTATAAATAAAACTAACGAACCTATTAAAAATAAAAATGCTAAGAAAATTGTAATATTGTAACGATTAAAGAGTTTTACACTAATTATCATTTATTTGGGCATAATGTTTTCTTTCGTAGGTGAGTAAAAAAATAAACTTGTTGACAATAAATTTTTTATAGAAATTTTCTCATTATTCCAATAAGATATTTTCCCTTAAGTAGTCGGTATGTCTTCTATTCTATACCGTCTGTCTTCTCTTAACATTGGCACACATCACTTTCCATTATCTCCAAATCATTATCGTGTTGTACAAAAATGTTCATATTATTTTTCATTGCAACCAATTTTCCAAACAAAAGATTTATTCTCTTATAATAATTATTCTCGTGGTGGTTGATTTGTCTCCTGAGTGGTAGCAATCAACTCAAATTGGGAGACTTTCAGATCAACCATCTCCTAATGATTCTCCAGGTTCCCTAAAAACTTTTCCATCCCTCCTAGCAAAAAAATAAATATGCTTCTGATTTACATAATGATTATCCTCTTCTTCATCAAGACCATGTATATTATTTAGAAGTTTTTCAGCCTTTCTTTCACTTTCTCTTTCTATTACTCTTTGACGTTTTCCTTAATCCCATAAAGGGGAAATATAAATCTTGGACCATGTATATTATTTAGAAGTTTTTCAGTCTTTCTTTCACTTTCTCTTTCTATTACCCTTTGCCGTTTTCCTTAATCCCATAAAGGGGAAATATAAAT